TCTGACCTGCTTTACCACATAATAAAAAGACAACAGTTAGCACTGATTATATACTATTTTTGATTATATACTATATTGATTGTTCATGATTATTCATTCATATCTCCCACTTAAGTTCCTTATTTTTTTTGCTTCATTATCATTAATATGTTACATTCTGTTTTGCTTAATTTTCAGCTTCTTGAAAACAAGAAGTGTATTTTTATATGTTCCTTATATAGAGATGATGCTCAATAAGTATTTGTTAAATTCATGGAAGAATTATTTCACAATGCAATTTAGCATACCAGGCACCAACTCAAAGTCACAGTCCTCTCCTAGAACAAGGGTCAGCAAGCTTTTCCTGTAAATGGCCAGATAGTAAATATTTTAGGCTTTGAAGGGCAAGAGACAAAATTAAGGGTATTCTTAGTAACTTACGTAACAAGACAGAAAATAAATTTCCACAACATTTTTATTGACAAAATTCTGTATACAATAATTGAGTACAATTTAAAAAAAAAAAAAATTGTAAGTCTACTAATAAGAAGAATGGAGCTCTGATGGCACAATGCCTAAGGCATTTGACTGCTAACCAGAAAGTTGGCAGTTCAAACCCACCAGCTGTTCTGTGGAAGGAAAATGGGGCAATCTACTTCTATAAAGATTTACCACCTCAGAACCCCAGTGAGGGTTGCTATGAGTCAGAATTAACTCAATGGCAGTGAGTTGTTTTGGAGTTTAATAAGAAGAATGAAATTCTTTTGGGGGGAGATAACATTTCACTTAATACTGTTCAAAATTAGTGTCCTCTATCATCAAAACCTTCTGTTCATCTGTTAATGCTGATCTATAATGAGATTGTACATATTTTGGATGTTTCATATTTGAACATTATTTTCCCAACAGACAGGTATTGCCAAATACTGCAATTTATGAACAAATTATTTTAATTGGGCATATGCATAGCCTAGAAGGCATTTGTAGAATTCTGTTAGATTCTTCTGGTATTTGCCTCATAGCATGTCATTACATTGCAGATTAATCATTTCCAATTGAAGTCGAGGTGGAAACTTCTCAATTGCATAGTTAAATGGATTTTGAAATATAGAGATTTCTTGCACGAAGTCCAAAAACCAATGCTGAAACTCTTTGATCTCAGAAAATAAACCCACTGCAAATTTGTGTTGTAATGGAGATCTCACTTCTTGTTTTAATTTTTGACAGTAAGGAAAGTGTAAAAAAAAAAAAAAAAACCACTGCCATCAAGGCTTGACTCATAGTGACTCTATAAGACAGAGTCAAACTTTCCCATGGGGTTTCCAAGACTGTAAATCCTTATGGAAGTACACTACCTCCCACAGAGCAGACAACCTTTCGATTATCAGCTGAATACCTAAAACACTGCATCATTAAACTCCTTAAATGAGATTATCGAGTGACTTGTAGGCTATGCAGTCACTTAGAACAATGGTAGTCATATACTCGCTGTTAAAGACTATGTTGGGAGTGTGGTAGCATAATGCCTAAGGCATTTGACTGCTAACCAGAAGGCTGACGGTTCTGTTTGAATGAACCAGCCACTTCTCAGAAGGAAGACTGGGCAATGTACTTCCATAGAAATACTGCCTGGGAAACCCAAGGAGTTGTCTCTATGAGTCGGGACCCACTCGATGGCAGTGGGTAAAAGTGAGTAAAAGACTATGTTAAACCAAAGAAACCAAACTCACTGCCATTGATCATAGCAACCCCCTTTGGGTTTCCGAGGTGGTAAATCTTTATAGAAGTAAATATAAGTTCTTATATTTCGTCCATGGCGTGGCTGGTGGGTTTGAGCCGTCAGCCTGGTGATTAGCAGTAAAATGCCTTAGGCACTACACCACCAAAGCTCCTTAAAGACTATGTAAGTGGTCTTCAAACTCCCTGAGGATATTTTTGTTAGGTGGCGTGGAGTCATTTTAGACTCGTGTTGAACCCATGCATTACTACGTAGAACTGCTCCTTAGGGTTTTCTTTATGGAAGCAGATCACCAGGTCTTTCTCCTGCAGAGCCTCTGGGTGGGTTTGAACCATCATCCTTACAGTTGTTCAGGCTGAAATCCTCTCGATAACAGTAAGTTTGGTTTTTCTGAATGGAAAGTATAAAAAGCAGCTTGATATTATTTGTGATTCGAATATTACTTGTCATCATAATGACTTTACTACAGTAATATGTTTCACATATAAATGCTGTTTTGGTTTGTGATTTTAGTTTTAATTAATTTTAAAACATTATAAAGCCTGCAGCAAAAGCTAATTTCTAAAGCCAATCATTGTTCACTAATAGCAGTAGAGGGTGGTTGTTCTAGTTACCTAGTGCCACTCTGACAAGAAATATACCACAAATGGGATGGCCTTAACAAACAGAAGTTTATTCTCACAATTTGGAGGCTTTAAGTCCAAGTTCAAAGTGCCAGACTCTAGGGGCTAGGTGAAAGTCCCTCAACCTTGGGGTCCAGCTCTGCCTCTTGCTCCCAGCCCACTGGAGCTAGAGGCATTTCTTCACTCAGACAGCCACTGGCTGCTTGAGGCTAAGAAGCCCCAAGGTTGACAAAGAAAAAGGCACAATTCTGATGTTACCAAACCACACAACAGGCCATTAACTTAAGTCCATTGTAAGTCCCAGGGTCGGCAGAGCACAGCAGGCTGCTGAGCAATGCTATGGCTACATGCAGGGTCCAAGCATGCCATATGCTAGAGATCATTCCCAAGGCTTCTCCTTATACACAGGAAGCAGACCACATTCCAAAGGCAGCTACCCAGCTGCTTGTGGTAGATCCCACCATGGAGTTGATTGCCAGTCTCATCATGGGGAATAACTACCACCAGCTGCCCAGCCACTCAACCAGGCCCAGCCAAGTTGACACACAAACATAACCACCACAGTGGTTCTTCTTATTCAGAAAAAAAAAAAAAATCATTCTCAGGCTCAAAATCCAAAAAATAAACGAAGATTCCCATTGAGTCAATTCCAACTCATAGTTGACCTTATAGGACAGAATAGAACTTCCCCAGAGGGTTTCCAAGGTCATAAATCTTTAGAGAAACAGACATCTTTCTCCCATGAAGCAACTGGTGGATTCAAACCACCGACCTTTCAGCAGCTAAGAAGTTTAACTATTGTGCCACCAGAGTTCCAGCAGTCTCAAAACACCTCAGTAAAACTTTACCACCACTAAACCATCAAACTTCTGTGTGGTAGGGAAAATCAGTATAAGTAACTTCTATTTCTGCCAAAACTTCACAGAACTAATGATGATTAAATCCACAAGAGCCAACAAAGTTCACAGTTGACATTACTGTTTAAATAACACATGATAGATTCAAATATATTCCTTAAAGTACTTTATGGTGCATAGTACAATTTATGTTTATAGCTTTAAACACTTTACATTTTTACAAGTTTTTTTAAGTTTGTCCCATAAGCATTATTCTGATCCACCATTATCAGTTATTATACATCTTAGCAGGTTCCACTTCAGGTACTTTCTCAGTTTCCTTGAGAGTATTCTCAGTTCTAGTCATTCCCCACAGACTACTCATAAAGATTAATTCTTCAGTCTCTTCAAACTTGGCATCAATTCCTAGAACAAATGCCTGAGCAGTATTATTAACATCTATTGACCCACCAAGAGCTAAGGAAAACCACTTAAAAACATTTGCCTTATTTTTCTGTTGTTGTTCCCAATGTCCTCAATTCTTCAGCAATCTTTTCTTACCAAAAGATTAACAATCTTAAACAAGTTTATTTTCATTGCATAATTTCACAAACTCACTGTCAGTAAACAACTTTCTTTGCTGAGTTAGCACCTGAGCCATTCACAAATTTACTTCAGTTGCAGCTTCATAAGTTATATATTTCACTTTTAAATTTCTAATGTTTCAAACTGTTGCATTCCTGTGAGGTGTGAATACCGTGATGAGTGCACAGTCTTGTAATACTGATGTGCGTTGTGTTCTTTTAGCATAGCTATAGTATCACTGAATAAGAAACAAAACTTTACTATCAAATTTGATAAAATAATACACATAACATTCTACCTAAAAACATGATATTCAAATCTACTTTTCTCTTCTTATTTTGACATGACTGGTATGCACTGGTAATAAAACAAATACATAAAATATCACAAGACATAAGACGTGTGCCAGTTGAAACACTGTCAAGTTGTAACTCTATCACTGAGATTTATAGTACAAGGAGCAATGTGAAATGAGGAGGGTGTGCTGTAAGATGTTTGTCACAGCTACACAACTTTGCTGTTACAGCGTAAAACAACCATATGTAATATGTAAATGAATGATAATAGCTGTGCTCCAATAAAACTTTATTTATAGATTTCTGAAATTTTAATTTTCACATCATGAAATACTGTTCTTTTGAGTTTTTTTCAACCATTGAAAAATGTAAAAACTATTCTTAGCTTATGAGCTGTACAAAAATAAGTTGCAGGCTAGATTTGACATGCAGTATTTTGCCATAGTTTGCCAACCTCTGTTTTAGGACTTGACTGTAAGGAAATATTGTTTACTTAATTTTTTTCCGAATCATAAACTATTTACAGAAAAAATTCTGGAATTGTGTGTGGTTGAGAAATAGAATATTCTTTTTAAGGAGACACTAATTAGTTAATGGAGGTGTCATGTACACCAGAGCATAATACAAAAAGAATTCAACATATATGCTTCACACCTAGACTTCATCAGTCAGAAGATATTGCACTGCCATAGTTTTTTTAATTTTAAATACCCCAGATCACTGCATTAATTGTTAGAGAGTATAGGTGAGCAGTGGTGGTCCCCAATATCCCCAAATACTACTTGCACATTTCACTTATTTTGAAAAGAAGCCCAGGAGAACTCCCATACCTGGGCAGGGTGTTGATCAGCAGCCGTTCAGAATCAACCCCTCCTACATTAACAAGCCTCTGGAAGATCATCTAGAGCTATCCCAGTTTTCATTTCTTATCTATGTTATTTAGGGTACCAAAGGCAGCCCAGGAACAACAGGACTGGCTGGTTCTCCAGGTCCTCAAGGAGCAAAGGGCTCAGCAGGCCTGCCAGGAAGCCCAGGACTTCTAGGCCCAAAGGTACCATAATTTTCTCTTCTGATGGATGAGCAGCATTGGCCATCTTCACTGGCCTGAGTTTAATGGCTAGATCAGAGGATGAGATTAATAGCTTTCAGCAAAATTTGGCTTATAGTAAAAACACATTAGGAGAAAAGAAAAGTATGGTCCTTGACATATTCATCTTCTGCGATAGCCACAAAGCATGTAATTTGCCAAAAGAACGCCTTAACCCAGCATTGGAAATGTTTGAAAAATGCTGTCGATGACTCATCTTGGTTCTTCTTCCCTCTCTGTCTTCCACCTTCTCCTCCAAAACAGAGAAATCTTATTTACTTTCAGATGTATACTTTCTCAGTTATACTTCCTTTTCCTCCAAGTTTGAGCCTAACCAACCAATTAATAAATCTGACAACAAAATAGATTATTTCTTAGGGTCAAAGTGCTAGCAATTAAGTCTTGTAGTTGCATTCAGTACATAGAATATTGTCACATGACATTAGGCTTTCCAGACAAAATCTCTCTTAGAATTGTCTCAATGCAAAATTGCCTTTGATTGGTTGTCTTAATCCTAAGTCTTTCATGACATACCTTTAGACACTGGACTAATCTCTAGGTTGTCCAGTGTCTAAATGTATTTCATAAAAGCCTTAGAATTAAGACAATGGCACCCTCATTGTTATTACTCCTTAGCTTGATTTTCATATTTCTGCTTACACAGAATTTCCAGGTATTCTGATTTATATAGATAAGCTGGAAAAGACAACCCAACTATATATTGTTCCTAATTTGAGTGTTCTGTTAATGTTTATACCACAAATATCCCCTCCCACTGAAATCCAAAGCAACTGAGGAAATGCTAAAGCTCAGAAAAAGAAACGTGGCAAAGACCCTTTTATATATGAATTTTCTTCAATAAAAAGAAGATCCATATTTGGCAAGTCTCCAAGTTCCAGCTTTGTATCAATACAGTGAAGAATAACTTACTAATTTTAAAGAACCTATGATCCAAGTGTCCAAAGCATCATCTTTCATTAACCTATCTCTATATTCTATCTGATTCCTAATTTTATTGTTAGAAATGGCATGAAAGATATTTCAACTCTTATTTAATAAATAAATTTAAAAGACTCAGGCCTTTCAAAAATTAAATAATGTTAATTAGTATATTGTTAAAATGAACTTTTAGGGAATAAAGATGAAGATATGGTTTATATCAGAGAAACATTGGGAAACAAGAAAAATAAAAAAGGAAATTCCTTAATGATGGAATTGGAAAGATAATTGTGGCAAAAACCAAAGTTTATACTTTAAGAGGTCATGCTCTGCTTCTGAGTCATGTAGCTGAGTCATTGCTGGGGAGGAGAGAGAAAAGATCAAATATCAATTCAAATAAAATTTAAGTTCCATCGCATGTAACCATATCCTCACCATCCTTTCTGTAGCTTGACCATCCTCTTCCTGGTTTTGTATGTCCCTCTTCCTTCTTCCTTCCACATGTATCACCACAGTCTCAGAAAGTTTCTTTCCTCACTGCTACCCTTCTTTTTCATTATAATCAAATATTACTTGTGTGAGAAACATTGGTGGAAAGGCTGATCATGCAGAATTTGATTCTCCCAGTGCCTTGTATTGTGCCTAAGCATTAGGCTCCTTGAATTTCACTTAAAAGCCTATATGTTTATAGATTCTAAAATTGAAATCATCTTTCTTTTTTCTGTCCATAGGGTGAACAAGGACTACCTGGTGAACCTGGAAGGCAAGGTAAAAGAGGCCTCCGAGGAGTACAAGGTGATCAAGGACCACGTGGAGAGCCTGGCCTGAAAGGGCAACTTGTATGTGCCAACTCAGAAATTCTCCAATCACTTATTTTACAGAATAGGACACAATTACATGCAATGATTACCATGTCTATTCATGTTGCAGGGAGAACATGGTGCTCAAGGTTTGAGAGGTTTCCAAGGATTCCCAGGTCCCAAAGTATGTTTGCATATTTTCTGGTAGTCTTTTAGATACCTAGAAAAAAAAGAGTTGTTAAAATATCAAAATTAGTTTTGTGACTTGAACTATTTTTAATCTGCAAAATTTCAGTTGGTACAAAGAATTATATATTTGATTTTTGAATATGTTCATTTTGAAATAATCTAACTATACATTGTTTTAGCAATTGAATTCTCTGGCTTGCTTTAGTTCTCTCATTACTTTTTTCCAACATTTTATTATGAAAACTTTCAAACACACAGCAAAATTGAATGAGTTTCTCAGTGAACATCCATATACCTATTACCTATATTCTATGATTAACATTTTACTCTGTTTACTTTATCACACACCTACCCAACTGGCCATCGCTCTCTCCTCTCCAACCATTTATGGTGCATTTCAAAATAAATCACATACCTCAGTTCAAACTAAACCACCACCACCACCACCCCACTGCCATCGAGTCAATTCCAACTCACAGCAACACTATAAGACAAGGTAGAACTGCCCTGTAGGGTTTCTAAGACCATAAATCTTGACAGAAGCAGACTGCCATATCTTTCTCCACCAGAGGAGCTGGTAGATTCAAACAGCTGACCTTTCAGTGAGCAGCCAAGCACTTAACATTGTGCCACCAGGGCTCCTTAGTACACTTCCCCTTAAATAGTATAGCATGTGTATCCTGAACTATCACATTTCATTTTTTAAGAGCCAATCCTTGATAGACTGTTAAGAGATTATTTCATTTATAAAATGTCTACATAAGCTAAAAATTTTGACTTCTTAAAAATTGTATTTCTAGGGTCCTGAGGGAGATATTGGAATTTTTGGAATATCTGGTCCTAAAGGTCCTATTGGACAAAGAGTAAGTATAAAGTCATTCTATCTGCCCATAAATTGTGTTTCTTTGCTTACTGTACAACTCAGGGTAAAAACTTTAAAATTACTCTAAATTATTATCTTAATAAAATTTGTTTTAAGATAGAAATTCATTAGACCACATATAGAAATTTCCAACCTTTGTCAGTTCATATATTAGTTTAAGCAAAAGACTTAGACATCCCCACCTCAAACCCATACTTTCTAAATTCTCACTTGAAAAAAAAAAATCAAAATTACTATGAAAAATGGATAATATGTTTATTATATTATATTTCTTACACCAGAAAGAAAAACATAAAATCATTTTATATTATAGACATTCATACAGCCAGAGACCATAGACCACCTCCCTGTGCCACCTGGAGGAGGCTTGCCTATATCCAAAGCTTGTCAGATGACTCTTTAAAAATATTTCCCAATAGCTGTGTTTTCCCAGCTGGGAAGAGAGTATCTCAATAGAATGATAAGGAACTGCTTAAAGACTTACAAAGATCAGGGTCAGAAGAACTTCAATGATATGTTTATTGCCTGGATCTGCAAACGGGGGAGAATAGTACATAGGATAAACAAGCCACTGGTTGTGTCTGTTAGTTTTCTGTTTTTCTGTTTTTTTTTTTTTTCACTAAGCACGGTCTCCTAATTGATGAGATGATCTATAAAACTGAAGAAAAATTAGAAAAGGCATAATGTTTCAATAGTAGTTAGCTTTAATAGTAGCACCTTTATGATGAACAGCAGTTGTTAGGGCAAAGAGGGGAGTGAGCAGAGAGAGATAGATGGGGAACAGTTCACACGCAGGAGAAACAAATCTTGAATGAGAACTTTACAACTAAAACTCCTATTTTCTGGTTTTTGTAAAAGATCTTAAATGAAAATTCATTTTTTTAAAATCCTTTACCCCTTCCCTAACTCCTACAATAAATTCCTTTCAATAATATAAAGAGCAATGTTGTCATGGGAAACTTTTTAAAGACCCTTCTCCACATTTCTTCAGGTGTAAATTTATTAGTTATTTTTATGATTTCTCAAGAACTGTGAAATTTGGTGTTTTTACATCAAGTTCAATTCTTGATTATCTATCTACATGTGGTTTATATATGTATTATAGGCTTCTCTATAGTAGAGGGAGTCCTGGTGGCACAGCAGTTAAGCACTTGGCTGCTAACTGAAAGATCAGTGGTTTGAACTCACAAGCTGCTCTGTGGGGGAAAGATATGGCAGTCTGCTTCTATAAAGATTTACAACCTTGAAAGCCCTATGAGGAAGTTCTTCCCTGTCCTGTAGGGTCACTATGAGTTGGAATTAACTTGGTGACAGTAGATTTCTCTCTATAGTAAATATTGCTTTTAAGTTCTTATTAAACCCTCACAAATTAAATCCATTCATTCTTAATTTATTAAATTCTCAGTTAATTAAATCCTTTCATGATATTGTCAAAAAGAAGTTGGTTTTCTGCCCAGCACCTGTCTTAAGCTGGGTCCCAGAGTAACACTCTGGACTGTGGTCTGATCTTTTATTACTTGTCCAGAAATTTAATCAGTTCACAAATAGTAGTTTAGTAACTACCTCACAATCTACTAATTTGTACGTTGAGATACTTCTTTATTAAGTGAGTATGAGTCAGCCAAAAAGTCTTAATAAGTTACTATATATCAAGAGACTATTGTGTACCAAAAAGAGCTCTGGTAGCACAGTGCCTAAGGCATCTGACTGCTAACCAGAAGGGTGGAGATTCAAACCCAGTAGTCACTCCATGGAAGGAAGACTGGGCAATCCGTAAAGATTTACTGCCTTGGAAACCCAATGGGGTCACTATGAATCAGAATCAACTCAATGGCAGTAGGTTTGGTTTTTTTATTTTGTTATGTACCAAATGCTAGTGTTCAACTTGTATCCCTTATTTCATTTTCATCCTCATAAAAATCTGTGAGATATTTTGCAAGTGGGGAGACTGTCTCTGAAAGTTAATTTTCTCAAGGGTATATATTGCCAGTATGTGGAGGAGCCAAAATCTGAATTCACATCTAATTGACTTCATTGTACAAACCAAATCACATGTTAAAAGATTGCTTGCTAATTGCACAATTAGAATATAAAATGGATATTATTAAGTGACCCAGTGCCTAGTTCTGTATCTAGCACATATGCCATCAGTAAGTATTTGACGATTTAATTAATTAATTAAAACTAGGAAATCTGGATTAATTCTGCTACACCATCTCAAAGATGCATTTATGTAGAAAATTAGTATCGACCATTAAAATCAGAGCAGCATGTCTTTGGACACATATAGATAAACGTTGTTGTTGTTGTTAAGTGCCGTCGAGTC